CTTTATTTTTCTATAGTATGAGAAGCCTTCACCGTGAAATGTAAGGCTCTGTGCGCGCCTCAGTGGTCCCTGGGGGTGGAAATGATTGACAGTTTTTGCATTTGGGAAGAGGACAGCAGCACCATATGGTCAACAGTTTTTGATATCAGTGCAGAACTTAGGGTTAAATAAGATCACACAAAAAATAAATAAATAAAAGATATAATGAAACTTTAAAAAAACACCACTATTTTCATTTTCATTTTTTTTCTCTATCAATCCCCAAATAGACAGCACAATCCACCCATAATAATTTTTTTTACAAAGACTAATAGGGTACTCTAATTTTTTTCTTTTTATCATTTATTGATTTTTATTACGTCTCTCCTTCTTTTCTGAGTTTGTTACTCTCAAGTAACATCTCTAATCTTCGGTCCTTATTTGACCTACATTATATGTCGGTAACACATCTTTAGTTTAGGTGTAGTAAGAGTTTTACGGCACATGCAACACAATAAGGTCATACAAGTGCCAAAGAATGGACTAGTGTTACAAGGGAGTAACATACTCCAAAAACGAGGGGAGATATGGCCAGATGTTTGATAGGAAATAAGGAACAAACCATACCAGAGCAACCGCCAACGACCCACGTAACACGTCTTTTTTCCTACTTTTTGGTAAGTGTTTTACGGTACTTGCAACTGCATTAGGTCATATGAGCCAGCGGAACACACCAAACTTTTTCAGTTGGTAGGAAATTTTGAATTTTGCCTGGGAGGCCGCCGAAGCCTACTCTTATCGATTTTAGATCATCAAGGGATCTTTAACCTGCTCAACGTGCACACGGGACCTCCGAGATTTTTCGCCCTTGTCCCAGAAGGCTAGGTGTATATCTTTCCTACCAGAAGATCATGGGTGTGGCTGAAAAACAGCAGTAAGGAGCCAACGAGTAGCAGAAAGAGTCAGGAACCCAGTGGAGGGGGCAAAGGAGTTGAGGGGGTGGGGGAAGAAAGTGGAGACGAAAGTAGACTACAGAATATTGCAAAAGATAAGGAAAGAAGGCGAAAAGAGACAATTTTAGAGAAGAACATTTTTTGGTTGCTACCCGGATTCAGACCCGGGACCTTTAAATGAGAGGCGAACACCTTAATCTCTAGGCCACTAGATCCCACATAACACGTCTGCTGCTGACGGTAATGTTTGACTTTATAGAAAACCGATCGAAAAGTATAAATATATAAGGATGTCCTCTCCGCCGTTGGTCCCAACATATTCTCGATTTCACAGGAACCATTGGCCTTTACCCAAAATTGTGAATATTGTAAATTGGGGTTGTTTTTTTAAACTGAATTTTTCTCATACAACCTTTGAATAAAGTCAAGCTTTGCTGTGAACTGCTGTGAATGCAACCCACTTGTGTACCGCGCACTTATATGACCTTATGCAGTTGCGAACGCCGTAAAACTCTTACTAAACTAAATTTATAAAGTTCGAACTCAGAACCTTATTCTGAGGAACAAACAAGTCAATGTTAAAGCAGAGTGTTTAACCCTATCCGTACGCCCTGGGGTCATTTTGTACCCCCGGGGTTGTATTCTTCACATTTTAGAATACTTCTAGTGCGATGGTCTCTTTGAAACTTTCAGTATCCCTCAAAAAATAATTTTGACAGATTGCTATGCAAAGCGTTCGGATCGGATTAACGAGTAAATTTCCTCTCTGGAAAGTGATGGCACATAGTTCCCCATGCACGTCTTATGGATACGATAGTAAAACACGACGTACGGATAGGGTTAAGTGGTGGCATAGAGTCCCTCACGTCGTATGGATACGATAGTAAAACACGACGTACAGATATCGTTAAAGAAGTCTCCTCCAGGCAAGGTTGTTGTTCTGTTGCTGCAGACGCCACGCTGACATAGCAACATGATGAGTGATGCTTGGGTCAGACTGCAGGCACGAGACAAAGAGGAACAAATTAGGAGCGGGAGAAATGACGGATGAAAGAAATAAGCAAAAGAAACCGTTTTCAAATCGCTGAAGATGCGTATTGTGAGCCTTCATTACATCGCTTGAAGACGAGCTGTTTTGGAGCATCAACCATAAAAACAAAACGAAACCACCAACAATCAACAAAACACCACACATACACACACACACACCCACCAAAAACAAAAACAAAAACATAAAACCCCCAAAGCATCTCTTTGCTATTCATATAGTACGCTCTTAATATGCCCTTATGGACTTGCAAACGCCGTAAAACTCTTATTCTTATTCTTACTAAACATAACATTATCTGAAGCATGAAAGGGCAGACAACAAAACAGACATTATGAAATATACAAATTCGTCTTTCTGATTTGTGTGTGGTGATTTGGAATGTTCTAGAACATATTTTTGGTCTTCCGCTGATCGGACATATTATTGTAACGCTCCCTAGAATTACAAAGTTCTATCTGTTCAGTTACATCTCGTTTTGATAAATTTGACGCAAAAAAATGAGTTTCGCTTCATGCCGAACTTTGAATATCTTAATAACGACTTCGAATAATCTTACAAATTTGATAGAACCGACAGAACATTTGATTTCTGACCTCGGGGTCTTAGAAGTAGCTTTAAAAGGCTAAACATGTTAAGGGGGCTCTCGTGGTCTAGAGGTTAAGGTGTTGGCATCTCAGCTAATTCAAAGGTCCTTGATTCGAATCCGGGTAACGACCGACAAATTTTCTTCGTTTTCGCCTCTTTTCCTTCTCTCTAGCAATATTCTGTCGTCTGCTTTCGTCTCCCCTTTCTGCCCCCACCCCCTTACCTCATTTGCCCCCTCCTCTGGGCTCTTGACTCTTTATGCAGCCTTTCTACTGCTACTCAATGGCTCTTTTTCTGCTGTCTTTCAGACACACCCCTGATCTTCTGGTAGGAAAGAACTACACCTAGCTTTCTCGGGCTAAAAATCTCGGAGGGCCCGTTTACAAGTTGCACAGGTTAAAGATCCCTTGGTGGTCTAAAATCGATAAGAATAGGCTTCGGCCGAAACCCGGACAAAATTCAAAATTTCCTACCAATTGAAAATGTTCGGTGTGTCATATGATCTTATGCAGTTGCAAGCGCCGTAAAGCACTTACCAACCCCCTCCCCCCTCCTAAAAAAATCCCCATGTTAAATAGAGATTTGTAATTTTAAGTTAGCGATTTGTCCGACACGCCCTAAAAGACTTAAAAAGCTCCTGGCCGAGGGAAGAGACTTTCCGTTTCCATAACTCAGTTCTGTGGACGGGGTCAACGAGACATTTCGCCGGCAAGCACTTCAGGTGTAAAGTAAAGTTGTTCCCGCAGCCGATCCAGACATTAGGGATTGCCTTGTTAGTGAGACAACTTCCTGGACCTTCGGAATATTGAGGTAGGGTGGCCAGTTCCTTTCCACGCCGCCTTTACTTCCCCAACTCGAAGTCAGGTACCCATTATTCCTGGGTGGGCAGGAGGGGGCAAAAAATCTGTTTCCGAACCGAGGCTGGAACCAGGACTTTCCGCTTTGGAGACGAGCGCACTAACCGCTCTGCCACCGCACACACTTCAGGTGTACTAAACCTAAAATATTGTTTTTGTTGTTGATTTTGTTGTTTTTGTTGTTGATTTTTTGTTTTTGTTGCTGGGTTTTTTCTCACACACTCACTCTCTCTTTTCTCTCTATACTCTCTCCTTAGTACACTTCCCTCACCTTTAATATTTTCTTCATTCACTCCTCTCTCTCTCTCCCCTCTCTTTCT